GAACCTCACAGATTCAAAATCTAGGGTTCTGGTGTTTTTTAAGATCCAAAATTAAGGAGATGGGGAGAAGATTTAGGGGGAAATGGTTGTGGTTTAGTGTTAAGAGGGGTATGAGGATTATCTGGTGAGGTTTTAGGGCTGAGCAGAGGCGGCGCCGCCACCGGAGAACTGTGGCGGCGCTAGGGTTCATATCTTCCAAGCAATATTCGAAGAGTTCTGGTAGGTTTTGAGGGAAAACGATGGTGGATTTGAGATGAGAAGGCCAAGACGAGGCTCTGGTGTGAATTTAAGGGTGTTTGGACGATCGCCGCCGGCGGAGGCGATTTTCGGCCGGCGGCAGACGGCGGCTCAGGGCGGAATTAGGGTTTGGTCTTTGGGGGTTTCAGAGACGGTGAGAGGGGGAGGGGGGGTAGGGGTGCGTTTGGACATATATGTATTAGTAGATGTGGGCTTCTCGTCCGTTGGATCAAACAACCTAGATGGCTAGGATTGGTTTAGACCAAACGACGTCGTTTTGAGGGTAAGGGGAGCTGGACCGGACCAGGGGCATTTTTGGGCTGGGTAGAGTTTAAATGGATTTGAGGGGTTTGGGCTTGGCTTTTTCAGAGATTGGACAAAGTCCAAAAATCTGAAACAAAAGACCCTCCTTAATTTCCTTTTCTTTTCAATTTTTCAATTTCTTTTAATTCCTTTTCTTTTATTTAGTTTTTCAAGTATTAGAACTAAAATTAAACCTAAAAGATTAAGCTAATCTACCTAATTATATTAAGCTAGAATTAATAATCAAAACTATTAGTAATATACCAATTTAAAGAAAACTAATAAAATTCAAAACTAAAATTTAAAACCAAGCAACATATCGATTTTTGATTTTTGTATTTTCATAAAACCCTAATTAATAATTAATCTAAAAATGTAAAATTAAGTCCTAGTTGCCAATGCAATGCATATTTTTGTGATGAATTATGATAAATTAAAAATGCACATAGAAAAATGCAAATAAACACGAAAATTACGCAATTAATTCCTAGAAATCGAATAATAAAAGGAAAATCCTAATTTAAAGAATTCTGTAGGAGTAGTTCAAGCGAGGCAAAAAAAATCACGTGCTCACAACAACAACAACGGCGAAACAACAAAATCTCGCTCAACAAAAGGAAGTTCAGGGGGTAAACCTTGACACGACCGATGTAAGCTCGGCCAGACGATCGCAAAGCCATGGACCTCAATCATGGCAAAAAATGGTTAAGGATGGAAAGAAGGGAAGATGTGGAAAATATAGGAAGGAACTTGGGTGAAAGATCAATCCCAAGAGGCTCCCATTTATAGGAAAAGGAGGAGGGGAAGCGTAACCGACAGCGCCATTATCCTCCTCGAAAAACGTAACCGTAGGCGCATAAATGCGTCATGGGAGCTAAATCGACGGCGACATTATGATTTTGGAGGACGAGAAACCACAAGGCTTTGAACAACCTTGGAAAAGCGAAATGATGGAACATTTTCGGTTATCATAACGACTTATGTCACATGCTGCATTGTCAGTGTGACGTCATCACAGAGAGCACGGAGGGCCGAGCATCAAATTCATTTCCTATCGCTTCGATCTAGGAAGCGCGAATACAATCTGTATACGGCAAAATCGGAGGGTCCAATTTCCCGTCATTAATGCATTTCGGAAGAGCGCCTCGAAGCCTCGAGGCCGCAAAGATGCGTTCGAGTCTTCTCCCTCGAAAGTCCATCGACACCCAGCCTCAAGAGGATATCGGTCGAGGCTAGAGTAAAAATGGGAAGTTCCCAAGACGCGGCTAAGTCTGACAAAGCCTAGCCAGGATATTCTGAGCCCTAATCGGGGCGTCACTTCCAGCCGTCCTATCTCCACACCTTTATAGCTAACGAATGCCTTACCGTATAAGTTTTCCCCCTTCTATATAAAGGGGATTTTTACTATTTTATGGGGGACTGATGTTGCTCCAAAGGCTCTACATGAAATATATGATAACTCTCTCTCTCTTTTTTCTCTCTAATACACTCTCTTGATATTGTTGCTCTATTTTATTATCTTCATTCTTGTTCCACATTTGTTGCTTATTTATTGTTTGTCATTGGCCTTAAAGAGCCTCCTTTAATATTATTGCATCTGTTAATCCTTCCCCAATTCCCCCTGATAGCTTGAGCCCGAGCTCGGGACCCGACCTCGAGGCCCCAAATCAACTAGCTCGAGGCCCCGAACGGCTATCCCTCAGTTCGATTATTGCTTTATTTTAGCTCGCGTCTCACCCTTAAACTACACACACATAGCATCAACTGCTCCACAACTAGCATAAAAATAGATCACGTATTTTTAAAGTCCCATCAACAAATTTAATTATTATTACCATTTTCACGGTAAACATTAGTGCAAGATGTAAAATTAAAAGGGAGACGATTATACCTTAGTGGTGATGGCGCTTCGAGCCTCGATGTGCTTCAATCGTTTCCTCCGGGGAAGCGGTACGATCATTTACTTGTTTATTTGGGTGTAGCCGAGAATGTACGTCGTGATTGCTACTTCCCTATCTGCTTATCTTTTAGCTCTTTTGATGTTGGAGGCATCAATGACGATGCCACATCGTGCACCGCGAACATCTCTCTTGCTGCATGTTATTCTCCGTACATAGTTTTTATCCCGTCCTTTGTCGGGAATTTAATCATTTATGAAGAGTTGATGGTACTGCTCTCATGCAGTGTATCCTTGGCCTTCCGAGTAAGGCGTTGTATCTCATGTCTCCTTCGATGACATGAAACTTGGTATTTTGGGTTGTACCGGCCACGTTGACCGGGAGGGTGATCTCCCCTTTCGTCGTCTCGCTCGCCATGTTGAACCCATTGAGGACTCGAGAAGCGAGCACAATTTGGTCGAGCTAACCGGGCCGCTCCACCACCCTCGACCTGATAATGTTGGCCGAGCTACCTGGATCCACAAGTACACATTTAATTTGGAATGTATTCACAAGAAAAGAGATTACCGCTGCGTCATTACAAGGTTGAGACAGGGTCTCGTTGTTCTCGTCACTGAACGTGAGAGTATCCTCGCGTTTGTAACCCTGATTTGCTTTTCCCTGGTGATGGATATTTTTGTTCGTTTGTGGTTCTTCTATTTCATTTTTCCTGTTCGCCCCTCTTTCCCAGAATTGAATTTTGGCTCGGTTGCTGAGGAACTCTCGAAGATGCCCTTTGCTGATCAGTCAGGCTACTTCTTCTCGCAGCTGTCTGCAATCTTCGGTCCTATGACCGTGTGTACCGTGAAACTTGCACACCAGGTTGGGGTTCCTTTGTGATGGATCTGATTGTACAAGTTTTGGCCACCTAGTTTCTCTAATTTTACCGATGGTAGAGAAGACTTCTGAAACATCAATGTTGAAGTTGTATTCGGACAATCGGGGTGCCTCCGTCGGTCTTGTCAAATCCGACTCTGCCCACGAGTCCCCGAGGATTCTGACCTCGGTCTATCCTTCGATTATTTTGGGGTATTTACGCCTTGGGGCGTTTCTTCGATCTTTAGTGTAAGGTTGATACCTTCCTTTGTTGGGCCTTGGTTCCTTTGCAAGAGCCTGTTGGGATATACTGAGCCCGAGGGGGCTACCAGTTGGTCATCCTCGACCCTAATCTTCAACTAATGTCGGTTGTGGATATTCGACCAAGTCACGGCGAGATATTCTATCAGGTTCTGCTTTAGTTGCTTTGAAGCTATCAAGCTTCGTGCGTTCAAACCTTGGGTGAAGGCCTGCACTGCCCGGTCATAGGAGACTGGTAATTCCATTTGCTCTATTTGAAAACGAGATACAAACGCTCATAGTATCTCGTTTTCTCCTTGTTTGATCTTGAAGACGTCGGATTTTCTTGTAGCGACCTTAATGGCACCGGCGTGTGCCTTTATAAAAGAATCTGTAGCGTGGCAAATGAATCTATTGAATTCGAGGCTAGGTTGTGATGTAACATCATGGCCCCTTTTGAAAGTGTTTCTCCGAATTTCTTCAATAGGACATTTTCAATCTCGTTGTCCTTCAGGTCATTCCCCTTTACAGCACAAGTGTAAGCAGTGATGTGCTCATTGGGGTCTGAGGTTCCGTTGTACTTTGGTAGATCAGGCATTCTGAATTTCTTCGGAATGGGCTTTGGAGCGGCGTTTGATGGGAATGGCTTTTGTACGAATTTCTTTGAATCTACACTCTTCAGGATCGTGGGTGCGCCTGGGATCTGATCGACCCTTGAATTGTATGTCTCCACCTTTCTATCATTGGATTCTATCTTCTTTTTGCCAGATTCAATCCTCTTCGTGAGGTCCTCGAGCATCTTTATGATAGCGGGATCGGCTGCTGACCCGTTGCTGCTTGATCTTTATGGTACTTGTTCGGCTCAAGGAGCTGTTTGCGGTGCTGCTGTGCTCGGGGTCTTTTGGTGGCTCTACAGTTGAGCGATCGCCAACTGTTGTGCCTGCAACATCTCAAAAATGACATGAAGGCTAACCTCTCGTTCCTCCCGAGCTGGGGTTTTCTTAGCTTCTTGTTGATTCTCTTGGTGTATACTCCTATCAGTGTGGGAGCTTATATCAACGTGTTGGGCGTTGCGCGAGACCACGTCTACGGGAATTGGTTCTGGTGCGTCCTCAGGGTTTCGCGGAGGTACAACGACACCTGAAATTGCTACACCATTCTCTCCATGGTCCTCAGGACCGTTGTTCTCATGTGTGTTCACTGAGTTTGACATTCTGACCTGAAATCAAATATTCTTTGGACAAGAAAAAGCGTGAAAGATAACTTGCGTCATGTAGTAAACCTGCAAGAAAACAATCACTATTATTTTTAGCCCCACGGTGGGCGCCAAACTGTTTACCTTGAAAATGGTAATTACAATTAGATTTGATTTTGTGGTTCTAAAAATATGTGATTTATTTTTATACTAGTTGTTAGGCAGTAGATGCTAAGTGTGAGACTAGAAAATAAGATAAGAGTTTGAAGATAATGTATCAAGCAAACCAAGTGGATGAGAATCGGGGCCTCGAGCTGGCTGATATGGGGCCTCAGGGTCGAGCTGGGCGTTAGGTTCTGAACAGTCGATGGGCAACTAACAATTTTTAGGGCTTTGATGAGGGCTTTTTACGATCAATGATGAGTAATAAATGAAGAACAATTAATGAAACACAATAAATATAAGCAATAAATGTAAATAATGAGATCAAAGGAGAATATGTTTAAGTTAGAGAGCAGAAAATGTTCTTGTTCTTGTATTCAATGTTGTGCGTTATATCTCCCTTACAAAATGACAAGGATCCCCTTTATATATGAGGTAAAATCCCAATACAGTACATATGAATTTATTACAAAGATATGAGGCTTGTACAACCATTTAATGCCACGGTACGGGTTTTTACAAGCCTAATAGACTTGGCCAGCTTTAACCACGTGCCTTGGGAACTTCCCGTTTGCTCATCATGGTCATCGATTTCGTACTGCCTCGAGGTCAAGCTCCGAGAACCCTCGGGGTCGAACCTCGACCCTAGCCTCGAGCTTTTGGAGACGTGTTTATGAAGCGTCATAATGACCATAAAATTGGACCTTCTGATTTTTACTGTATATAGACCTTGTGCATCAAGCTATGGAGAAGGTTAAGATTATTAAGGAGCGGTTGAAAACTGCTCAGAGCCATCAAAAGTCCTATTCGGATGTTTGTCAAAGAGATTTGGAATTCAAGGAAGATGATTGGGTATTCTTGAAGGTTCCCCCATGAAGGGTATCATGCGCTTTGGAAAGAAAGGAAAGTTATGTCCGAGGTGTGTCGGGCTGTACAGAATCATTCAAAGGATTGGACAGGTGGCATACAAGCTTGAGCTACCATCTGAGATGTCATTAGTACACCCGGTGTTCCATGTGTCCATGTTGAAGAAGGTAGTTGGAGATTCATCCGCTATTGTGCCGGTTGAGACTATTGAGGTTAATGAAGAATTGTCGTATGGAGAAATTCCAGTTGCCATTCTTGATAGGCAAGTCCGAAAGTTAAGGAATAAAGAAATTTCCTCCGTGAAAGTGTTATGGAAAAACCAGAAGGTTGAAGAGGCCACTTGGGAGGCCAAGGAAGAAATGAAGAAGAAGTACCCTCACTTGTTTGGATAGCTATGTAATTAAGTATTTGTGTCCTATGAAGATGTTGAAAGCTTACCTTGTATGAATTGTGTATCACCTGGTTAGTTAATGTTAATAGTGTTTCTTTTTTGGTAATATACTACTTTTGGGGGCACGATTGGCATCATTTATGTTATATTGCATCTTTGGATTATGTATATGTTGTTAGGATGTGTTTCTGGGATTCTCTGGTAGGTGGATAGGCCAGTTACAAGGAAAAACTGAAAAATTTGGGAGTTAGTCAAAATTTGGGAGTTAAAGATGTGTGAAAAAGAGATAAGTTATAATAAGTGTTTGGATATTGACTCCACTTATCATTCGAGGACGAATGATCCTAAGTGGGGGAGAATGTAAAGCCCTCGTGCTGTCAAGGTAGGCTAACGGTGTTATTTTGTGTGCGGACGAGGACTAATAATATGATGGTTGTAAATTTGGTATAGTAATAAGTGTATGAGGCATATTATAAGTGATTTGGGGTCTAAAGAGATGCCTAAGTCTAAGCCATGTTGAAAAATTACATGATAGACAAAAAATTCCAAATGAGTACGCACAAGACCAAACTTTTAACAAGCATATCTCCATTTTTCTAAATATTTACGTGATTCAAAACCTATCTAATTAAATCCCTTTGAGTTTAGTTTCTAACTCATCAAACCGTTCCTCATTTGGATTTGTATACAGAAAATTATGGCTCTTTTACTGGACCTGTGTCATATGAGCAGCCGAATGCGCAGCCGGTGCGCGGCCGCGCATATTTGAAAGTTTCTGCCTTGTGTGCGCGGCCTATGCGCGGCCCGTGCGCGGCCGCGCACGTAGCAGCCCCATAGATACCCCCAAGACCGGGTATGGAGAGTCTCTAAGTCATTTTTTGAGCTAGGGCTTGCTATATCAAGGGGAATTCGTCCCATACTTCCCTCCTATGATCCAAAGTAATGTTTTGGAGTATTTTGAGTTGATTACTACACCTAAACACTTATATTAACAAGGATTAATTTTGAAAATCCATAGATTTCCATTCAAATCCCTAATTTGGTCAAGAACACTACAAGTGGGGATTCTCAAGATTCTTACTATAAGAGGTATGTCTAACATCTCTAACCACTCTATGGTGATTATTTATGTATGAAATATATGTTAGGACTTATGGGATGGTGATTGGAATCCGTAAGTTCCTAACCTAGGTTGTGTTGGTGTTGTAGAGATTTTGAAATGGGTTAATTAAGGAGATTGATGGTTTGGGTGTGTATTGTTGGGCATGCATGTGCTAATGGAAGTTGTGGATGGCCTAGAGGCGATGGTAAGGTGGATCATTGTAATGGAAGGTGGTTGTTAGGTGAAGACGTTCCGTTGAAGGAGGTTGTAGAAAGATATGCAAACTAGTTGTTTGATAAAAAGTCTAAATGACTTAAAGTATAGAAATCTTACTAAAATAGTTACAATGTGTTGCATTATTGTAGATTGAAGTTGTTTAGTGTGATGGACGCTGTAGAATTATTAAGGGGCGAATTTCATGTTTGTATGGCTAAACCTCTTTCTTCTTAGAATCAAACCCCTGGTGTTCGTGTAATTGTTGTAAGTTACTAAATTTATCATACTAATATCGTTGCCCGAATGTATTGTGTTGAAAGATTTATGTTCCAAGTTTGTTCTAAATGTTTATCATGTCGTCATACAATTCGAGAATGTGTTTAAAATGAGGAATATATGTGTTGAGAAAGGTCAAGAATACATGTCAAGAATCGAATAAAGCTTGCTATGCTAATTTGTATGTAAAGCCTCCATGTGATTAAGATTTTCCATGTTTTCTCCTTATGTACACAATGCCTCATATGATAGGCCTTATTGATGTGAATGATAATGTTATTTGAACATTTAAAAAAGGAAACTTGAATTGTAACATGCGGCCAAGTGCCAGGAATAATTTAATAAATGACGCTACTCGTGCCATGCAATAAAAGATGGGGAAAGAAATGTGCATTGAGATGAACGATTGAAAGGATGATGTCTCAAGTGAGATGGCCTAGCCGATCGGGCCGTGATCAGACACCATGCCGCACACATGGTAGTAATTGTGCTGAATTGATTGACTGAAACTGTGGAAATAGATGATGTCTCAAACGAGATGACCTAGCCAGTCGGGTCGAGATCGGACTCCGTGTAGGAACACGATGGTATTGTGGATTGTGGCAGATGGCACTGAGATTATCAAACCCAAATAAGATGGGAACTTGACCAGAAATTGTGTGATCCTTACTTGATATGTTTATATGTGTAGGAGCTCTTATTGTATATCATGACTGCCTCCCTTTTTGTTTTCTTTTTGTTTCATTGTTCATTCTCTTAAGGTTGGTGTTTAGTTTTACATACTAGTACTATTCCACAGTACTAAAGCCCCTTTTACCGGAGGCGCTACATCTTTTAATTGATGTAGGTGGTTCCATAGCCGAGAGTGTTGATCACAGCTAGAGGTGCTTGCTTTCATCTTCCCAGTAATCTTGGTGAGCCCCATTTCTTCCCGGGTCATGTGATAAATCTTTTGCTTATATGATTGCCACGTTTTGAGGTATAGTCGGGGCCTTGTTGCCGCCACTTTTGTAGTAGTTTCCTTTGTATCTACTTAGAGGCTCTGTAGACATTATGTGGGTTGTATATGGGTGTTGGGAAGGTCTAAGGATGATGTTGTGTTTGGATTATTGTTTCGCTAAATAGTAAGGTGTATGTATTTTGAAAACCCAACCACGATGTAATTAATGAAATGGCTTAGTAATGTACTCGTATGATCTCCTATTGTCTAATTAATGATATCATTCTTTCGAGCGAAAGTAAGGTGGGGTAGGAAGTGTCTAGTAGGCTTGCTCGGCCGGGTTCACTCGGTTGAGCGGCGATCGCTCCTCCTGATCTTGGGGCGTGACAGATTATCACCAAGGGATTCCATATCTGGTTGGAATCAAAGGGGAATTGGAGGGGTTTTAGGTGACGGCGCCAAGGGTTTAAGAAGAGAAAGGGGAGGGAGACTAGAGCGTTTGAGGGCGGCGGGTCGGTGAGAATGATTAGGGTTAAGGGGGGTTGGTTAGCTAAAATGGGCAGGTGTAATGTGGACTGTTGATCTTAGAGATCTACGGTCACGATTAAAGGGGTTTTGGGTCGGGTAGTTTAATTGGGTAAGGGTAATTGGGCCAGGGTTAATTGGGTTAGGCATTTTAGGTGTTGGGCTGGGTAATGAGTGTGGGTTTGGGACCGAAATTAATTAAGAAAAAGAGCTAAATTTTAAATACCCAATTAAATCAGTAAATAATTTATAAAAAATAATTAATAAATAACTGAAATATCATTTGTGCATGAAAATAATTACTTAACATTATAAAAATATAAAAAGTCATTTTTATGTAAATAGTGTAATTATGCATATATATGGGCGATTATTGCAAAATATGCAATTTTAGCTTAAAGATGCAAAATAAATGTATATAAAAATATTTAAAGCTTAATATGCATATAAATGATGAAAAATTAGATAATAAATTATTATAAAATTATTTGTGATCAAATATATACTTATTTATATAAAAATGCAGGAATAAATTGATTAGAAGCCTTTAAAAATTATAGAAAATTATGAAAAAATACTTGGTGATGCCCATGCAGTATTTTGAAGATATATATGCATATTTGAAATATGTGAGGGAAAAATTGGGTATCAACAACTGCCCCTCTTTACCCGGGAAGGATGAAAGAGTTGTCGGATAAAGAAATTATGGTCATTTTTTTACTGAATGGGGTGTTTTTGAAAAATATAGGCCGCACCCTGGTCCCTGAGCTGCCTACATATCCTTGGTTTTACAGGAATCAGGCCGTCTGTAGTTCTGAACCCAACGATGAATGAAACCGATGGAATTGTTATAGGAATAGTCATATGTTTTGGAAAGGGTACTTTGGGAAGGATAGTATCAGATGGATTTATGCAGAGTTATGAACGTGAATCTGAAGCGTAACAGATGTATCATAGGACAGATATCTGAATGGTTGTACAGTAAAGGCGAGTAAAATATGGGAGTCGGTTACGTTTGAAATAGTGGAAGGGTGTAAATGGTATGAGCGGAAACTGGAGCGAAGGTTGCTCCTGTTTGAAGAACGGTTAACTTCTTAATTATCTGCAAAACTTAAAACACGATGCGTGCAAATATATATGGATTACTGCGAGAATATAAGCATGATTCAAATTCCCTTCGGACCATGAAGGTTGTCTTTAGGCAGTGAGGATGACGTCCCGGGCCATGAATTATGAGATAAAGGATTCGCAGGCAATGAAATGGTGTTCTCAGGCCATGAGAATGGTGCCTCTGAATGATGACGCCTTTGAATAATGATGTGCGATATTGAGAGATCCTCAGGCCATGACATGGTGTCTTCAGGTTATGAGGATGATACCTTCGCACAATGACGCCTTCGGGCAGAAATATGGTGATACATATGAGCAAAACAAGACAAAGCTTAGTCTTGTATAGGATCGGGATAGAGCTTAGCCCCGAAAAGGCAAGATGGTGCTAGGTTTCAAGTAGGGTAATGTCTGGTGATTGGACAGAGAAAGGTAGAGCTTAGCCTTATGCAATTGAGAGGCAGGGCTTAGCCTCACGCAAGAATTGAGACAGGGCTTAGCCTCATGCAAATAGAAGGCAATGCTTAGCCTTATGCAAATAGGGTGGCAGGGCTTAGCCTCAGGCAAGATTTGAGACAGGGCTTGGTCTCATGCAAAGAGAAGGCAATGCTTAACCTTATGCAAATAGGGAGGAAGGGCTTAGCCTCATGTAAGATTTGAGACAGGGCTTAGTCTCATGCAACGAGAAGGTAATGCTTAGCCTTATGCAAATATAGAGGCAGGGCTTAGCCTCATGCAAGATTTGAGACAGGGCTTAGTCTCATGCAAAGAGAAGGCATTGCTTAGCCTTATACAAATAGAGAGGCAGGGCTTAGCCTAATGCAAGATTTGAGAC